AACAAAAAAACCAATGGTAATTAAATTAGCCAAAATAGTGCTGCAAAACAACAGTAATTGGCGTCAATTAGTCTTGGTGGGCGGTTTTGGTTTCGCTATAATTGATTTTTCAGTAAATAAGCCCCGTCTACAGGATTTTTCAGCCAAATTCTGCCAAAGCTAAACTAGGATTGCCGGGAAATTCACCTAACAAAAAAACTAAAAGGAGAGCAAGGAGGTTGTGTGTTTAATTATTTTTTCGAGAAAAACACTGATAAGCAAGCGTAGGTGGATAATTAAACCGACGAGCCAACCAAGGTCGCCTCCTTAGTTTTTCTTCGGGCGACAAAAAAAGGATTAATCATCCAGCGAGAGTAAGGCGAAAGGTGGCTTCAAGGCTAAGGAGATTAATTTTTTCTAAAGAAAAAAATCTAAATGCTCCCGCTGTAGATATAACTGCGCAGCGTTCTTCTTTTCTTGCTATCAGTAATGGTTTCTAAGTAGTTTAATTTCTGACTACTATACAAATTTCGCAAGCAGCTGTCGCAAATATACTTGCCTTGGTTTTCTAGCTTGCCAGTTCAATAGCCCCAATTATTCTTTTGGGAATATTCTTGGCGAGGTGGACAGAACTTGACGGTAATTCCTTTTTGGCACTCAAAACACTTCGTTTTTAAAGGTGGCTTAAGAGTATACATACTTATAAGGATATTTTTAGCCAAGGAGAATTAATTGTTAATTAGCGGTGGGCAGTCTTTAAATAAGCAATGATTTTTGTTCTATTGCGTCTTAGTTTCCAGGCTTAAACTTTTAAAAGTTCTTTGTTGGGCTTGTTTAGCTCACCTTTTGGTATCTTCAATTCGTTTAGCGGTTAATAAGTCATCAGTGTCCTCATAATCTTTAATTTCGGCAATTAAGTCATCCATTTGTCTTTTAATTTGTTCAAAGTGCAATCTTTGTTTTTGGGTAAAAGTTAAGGGTTTTCTTTTTCAAGCAGGATCGCCTTTTTTTTGACCGAAACAAGCACAACAGTTGCCGACATTTGGATTAAAGTTTTCGCCGCAACCTATTTTGATCACAATCTAAACAGTCAAAGCAAAAATCATAAGAGCAGTCAGCCAGCATTTGACAATAACAACTCTCACACTCTTTCATTTCATAGCCGGTATTTTCGTCAAAAATGGGTGGGTTCTTTTTTAATCATTCCCGGTAGGCTTGTCTTTTTTTTTCTAAGTTATCGATTTTCATTTAGTTAGTCTGGATTATAAAGTTATTTTTAACTTTTTTGCTAGGCTACCAAAAACTGCTTGCTTTGTAATTTATCGTCACACCTTATTCACATATTATGGACAAAAAACATTATACTCAATCCCTCTTTCCTAGCACTCCATAACTGCGATAAGTAATAAATAGCCTTTGTTTATTGGGTTCAACTAATTTGGTGAAATTTACTCGGTCTTTTTCGTATCATTCATTTAAGCAAGAGCGACAAAAGAATTGATAACCATTTCACTTTTTGCCTTTTTTTAGTCAGTAAGCTACTTCATTAAGTTTGCTTCATTGCTTTTTGGGAGCTACTCATTGTTGGGTGAAGTTCTTATGGCATTTGTCGCACTTTTGGATTCTTTCCATGTTTATTATGTATAATTTTAGGGAAAGTTGGCGAGCAAGGATTAATCTGGGAGGGCAAAAATGATGCTCTCTATTTGTTGCTATACCTAAAATATACTTATAGCAAAATTATGAATGGTTCTCGTATGCGTGCAAATATAAATATCTTGTTGATTTGAAATTTTTGCTTGGTTACTCTCTGGGTGGTCACTTTCTCTCTCTCTAAAAATATAAATATGAGGTGAATTTATGAAAAACAGACAAATATTTATTTACGAACACCCAATAACGCCCTAGTGGCGGATAAGAAGTGCCGTAAATTATGCTAATCAATTACATCAAGCTCAGCAAATAAATTGAAACGGGTATGTTAAACTTTACCCTAAATATTGAATTCAATAGTTTTTTTGAGTGGAAATCCCCCGCTGAAAACTATTTCTTATTAAAAAACTGACTGCTTGACCAAGAGCAATTATTTATTTACTTGTTTACCTGATTTTAGGATTTATTTACGCACTTAACACTACTGTTGACACGAATTGAAATGCTCGACTTTTAGGCATAATTAACTGGCTACTTCCTGATAAGGGAATTGTTAAAATAGTGCTTTTTATGCTAGTGAAAGTAATAATTTATTTCCTTTTAGTATTTTTTTTAGAATGCTTGTTTGTCAAGATAAGTGAAGTAAATATTTCTAGCAAAGAATTTTTACAAGCAGTTGTGGATAAAAAATTTTCTCTGAACGGAGAAATTTACCAGATAAGCGAGTTAGTTTTAACGAAAAAAAAACACGAAACAATTAAAAACAAAAAAAGTATCAGGGAAAATGTCAATCGGTGAAGAGAGGATTTTGCGATTAACTTCTCTTCACTAATTATTTTGAAAGAGTTAGTTAAGTTAGAGAAAGAAAAGCATGTTAAAGAAGTTATTTGAAGAAAAGCAAATCGATCTAAGCTTTTGTTTTCTCTAATCTTATCTTTGGTGATAGGTTGTTTGCTTTTTATTGGAATTTGTTTTAAGTCGATAAGTCCTATTTTCTTTAAAAAAAAGAACCAAACTCCCCATTCGCCCATTTCTCGCCCTAATCCCTCCCTCTTTTCTCCTTTCCCGCTCAATTTTTTCCCATTTTTGCCACAAATCCTTAAAAAAAAAGTCCTTTTATCAGTGATGATAAATCCCCACCAAAAATAGGGAAAAACCCCTTTTTCCTTAATTTCAAGTCTTTTTTGGCTCTTTTTCAATATTAATTTAGGAAACAAAAAAACGCAAAAGAACTAAAAATACATTAATACCAAAAATATGGATTATGCGATTGAAGTAAGAGATTTTACTAAAAGATTTGGCCACAAAACTGCCGTAGATAAGGCTTCTTTCCAAGTTAAAAAAGGAGATATTCATGGTCTAGTCGGTGAAAATGGAGCCGGTAAAAGCACTATTTTTAATGCCCTGGTTGGATTAGTTATTGCCAGCGGTGGTGAGTTATTTATTGAAGGAAAAAAAGTAATTGTCGACCCTTCTTTTAATTCTAATATCGGCTATGTCCCGGCTGAACCTTTATTTCCAAGAAATATGCGAGTAAAAAAATTTATTGAATTTTGTGGACTTTTGCGAGATATTCCGGCTTCCCAAGTGGCTCGAAAATTAAATACTTCTTCCTTAAACAGACTAAGCGGACAAAAATGTATTAGCCTCTCCACTGGACAAAAAAAATTACTCCAACTATTTGCGATTGATTTATATCAGCCAAAAATTCTAATTTTAGACGAACCTTTTAATGGACTTGACCCTACTAAAAGAACTTTATTAGCTAATAGAATTAAGGAAATGAGAGACCAAGGTGGCACAATATTGATTTCTACGCACATTTTATCAGATTTACAAGAATTAGCGGATAAAATTACCATGATTAAAAGAGGCAAAATCGTTTATACTGGACTAAAAACTGATGACCTTCAAAAACTTTACGAGCAATATTTCGTTCAGAACAAGAAAAGTGATGACTTATTTGCTTAAAAATACTGATAATTTATGAACCAGATACTAAAATTGTATAAATATTACTTGAAAAAGTTATTTAAAAGTTGATACTTTTGGCTTTTTCTTTCTTTGGCTTGGTTTATTTTGATTATTTTTCCTATTGTTTTGTATAACTTGATTAAAAGTAATTTGAAATATGAAGGAATTACGACTTACAAACAGTTTTTAGGTGATATTGTTAAAGGTGGTTTTGAATATTTTTCTGGCGATAAACTAACTAACCCTCCTATTTTTAGCACCATTTGAAGTATGTTTTTAAATTTTTGAGCAACAACTATTCTCGGAATGATACTAATGAATGTGGGAATTGCTGATTTAGTGCAAAAACCAAAAGAAGATGGAGAAGACAAAACGGTTTTAAATGTTGCTTCTCCCATTAAAAGAGATGACATAGTATTTGCGAAAATAGGAGCTTTTTTCACTTTTTTCTTGCTGACTAACCTCTTGGCTTTTGTCTTGCCAATTTTCACCAGTTATTGCTGAACGGGTGGCGACCAAGGAATTTTTACCGCTAAATTTGCGTTTTCTTTCCTTATTCTTTTTGGTTTAGTTTTTCCTCTTTTATGATTTTTGCTCGTCCATTCTATCCTATTTTACATGAATTTAGCAGTTGGTGGGTTAGTTAATACACTTTTCGCCCTCCTTTTATTTTTTATTCCTTATATTTGAATGATTACCATGAACTACATAAAATATAACGGAGGTTTATATCGCTTTATGGATAAGACCAAAAATTTAATTCTTGCTGAGCCGCTTTTTGTTATTCCTCTCTGCCTTTTGGTCGGAGGTTTATTCTTTTATCTCTATTGAAATAATTTCCGCAAACGAGATTTTAATTAAACTCTATGTTCCGCTTTAAAAAAACAATATTTCTGAAACTTTATTGTTATTATTTGAAAAAACTTTTCTGACTTTGGCTAATTTTGATTGCTTTTGTCCTCTTTCTTTCTATCACTTCTCGAAAACTTATTTGGAATTTCAGAGCAGGAGAAAAAGAAAACATTTGAAATGAGACTTGAAAATTTTTTTTAGTGAAATTATCAGTGTTATTCTATATGGCTGTTTTACTTATTTCGAATTTAGTTTGGGAAGCGATTGTGAAAAAGGAGGACGCTTCAATTTTATCAACTGCTTCACCCATTAACCGACAAAATATATTGGTTGCCAAAGTGGCTAGTTTCTTTACTTATTATTGAGTGAGTAATTTTCTTGTATTTAATTTGCCAATTGCTTTTCTTTCCGTAGCAAGTTCTTGGAGTGCTACGCTTATTTTTTTCCTTTTTGATAGCCTTTTACTGGTCTTAGTCGGTTTTTTGCTTCTTGCTACGCCTCTTTTTTATTTCCATTTTCCTGCCCGAAACAAAAAATTAAAGTTTTTGGCTTTTCTTCTTTACTTTGCTCTCATTTTTGTTTTTCTTTTGGTCGCTTGACACATGGAGATTTTAGAAAGCCCTTGAATTCCTATTTTATTATCTTTTCCGGTGGGATTTGGTTTTTTATCCCTTTGCTGGAATGATTTTCGTCGGCATGATTATACTTAAAAATATTTTTATATTGCGAGTATAGTTCAACGGCTAGAATGTTAGACTGCCAGTCTGATGATGCGGGTTCGATTCCCGTTACTCGCTCCATGGCGGATATAGCGAAGTGGTTAACGCACTAGTTTGTGGCACTAGGATTCAGGAGTTCAATTCTCCTTATCCGCCCCAATAAAAATATTTATTATATGAGTAGAAAAGAAATCAGGTTAGAGTTTTTGCGTAGAGATTTACAAAAAAAAGAAGCAGAAAGAGCCAAAGTATGAGAAAGTTTTTGGTGAATTCTTTGAATTTTTTTGCCCGTAATAGGCTGAATTATCATGATGTTTTTAGCAAAATAAGTAAAAAATCGAAGTTAGATAAAGAATGTGGAAAAATAAGAGACGAAGTTAGAGAATTGCAAAATGAACTGTTGGAAGAAAAAATAAGTGATAGGCAAAAATTTTAATAAATGATTTATTTAAACTAGGGTCCGTAGCTCACTTGGTAGAGCGTCTGTTTTGCACACAGAAGGTAGTCGGTTCGATCCCGATCGGATCCACCATTTTTTATGGAAAAGAAACATATTTAGTAAATTTTGTTGTTTTTTCATTTTAGTAATTCAATTTATTATATCACTAAAAAAGTATAAAATTTCTAGCAAAAACTTTATATTTAAGCCGTATGACAAAAACAAAAAAAATTATTCTTCTCGGTTATCAAGGAGTAGAAAAAACCACTTTTTACCAAAAATTAGTCAAAAATTATGCTTCAAAACAAGTGCCAGCAGCAAAAATTAGTTCCGGAGTTAATTACACCGAGTATCTTATTCAATTTAAAAGTAATTATTATTTTCTTATTGACGTACCTACTTTTATACCTCGTCCACAAACTGAAATTGAAAAAGCCATTCAAAAACATATTGAAGAACTGCTTAAGGAAAGTGATTTAATTCTGTGAATTATCGACGCGAGCCAAGGAATTGATCTGGCAACAGAAAAATTAAATAAATATTTGCGACAATTTTCGAGCCCAAAAATGTTAATTTTAAACAAACTTGATTTAGCAGAACAAAAAGAATATCAGATTTCTCTTTTCCAAAGGTTGGGACAAAATTACCTTTATCCTTTTTCAGCACCAAACATCGCTAATTTGGAAAAAGTAATGGAAAAAATTATTAGTTTTGTCCCTAGTCCAGAATTGCCACACGCAGAAAAAGATAATAAAATCAAACTAACTATTTTTGGTCCCCCAAATTCGGGAAAATCTACTTTGTTAAATTATTTGCTTAAAAAAAATCGTTCTTTGGTTAGCCCGGTAGCAGGCACTACCCAAGAACCAGTAAAAGATTATTGAAATTGGCAAAAGTGGTTTTTTTCTATTGCTGACACAGCAGGAATTAGCAAATCCTTAACTCAAGAAAAACAAATTTACCAAGAAAACCAACAAATTTTTCGGCAGAGTGATTTAGTTTGAGTAGTTATTGATGCTACCTTGCCTTTAACTAAGCAGACTTTACAAGTTATTCATTTAGCCGAAAAGCAACAAAAACCCTTAATTATCATTGTCAATAAATGTGACTTGGTTGAAACTAAACAAAAAAAAACACTTCAAAAAGAAATTAATTCCAGATTAAAAAGTTTACGCTATGTGCCAATTATTTTTCTTTCTGCTCTACAAGGCAAAGGAATTAAATCTTTATTGACAACTTTCGCTCTTTTACTTGAGGAAAGCCAAAAACAGTTCACTAAGAAAGAACTTGCCAAAGCCGTTGAAAATATGTCAATTAAAAATTCTTTTTCTTATAAAGGAAGTAGACTAAAAATTTATTTTGCTAAATACCAGCCAGGTTTAACTCATTGTTTTATTTTTTTCGTTAATAATCCCCAATTAGTTCACTTTTCTCATCAACGATATATAGTTAATTATTTAAGGAAACATTTAGTTTTGAAACATTTACCAATTAAATTAGTTTTTAAAAAGTCATAGTTATTGATATTTGTATTACCGTTTTGTTTGTTTAATTTATTCAAAATCTGGTCTAAATTTAACCCTTCCTCTTTTAAAAATATAGTTATAAATAATGAAAACTCTAAAGCCAACTAATAATGCTCAAAGAAATACTGTATTAATTGATTATCAGCAAAAACTCCACTCTGAAGTCAAAAAATACCCTCGAAATTTATTTAAAAAATTGCCTTCTCATGCGGGAAGAAATAACCAAGGAACAATTACTACTCGCCATCACGGAGGCGGACACAAAAAAAAATATCCAATTATTGATTTTAAACGTTATTTAAAAGATGGGGTTGAGGGAATGGTTAAAGGAATTAAGTATAGTCCTTATCACACTTCTTTTCTTTGCTTTATAAGTTACCGGGATGGTAGTAATGCTTTTATTCTTGCCCCTGAAGGATTAAAAATCGGTGATAAAATTTTGAGTGGTGAAAATGAAAATATTCCTATTCAAACTGGAAATAATTTGCCCTTGAAATATATTCCGGCTGGCACTTTCATTCATAATATTGAATTAAAACCCAAAAAAGGTGGTCAATTAGCCAGAAGTGCTGGAAATTATGCAGTTGTTCGTGGCTCTGATGAAAACAAAAAATATATCCAAATTAAGTTACCTTCCGGAGAAGTCAGAAAAATCTTAGCCGAATGTCGGGCAACTGTTGGAAAAACAAGCAATTCAGAAAATAACTTAGTGCGGAGAGGCAAGGCTGGTAGAAATCGTTGACGGGGCATTCGTCCTACTGTACGTGGATCTGTCATGAATCCAGTGGACCATCCTCATGGTGGTGGTGAAGGAAAGGCTTCTATTGGTCGAAAATCTCCTCTTAGTCCTTGAGGAAAAAAAACTTTGGGCAAAAAAACTCGCCGCAAAAACAAGCCATCCAACAAATTTATTGTGCGTTCTCGGCACCAAGTAAAAGTAAAATAATAATATATGACGCGTTCCTCTTGAAAATTACTGAATGTTGATCCAAAGTTAGAAAAAAAATGTGAAAAAGCCAATCAAGCCGGAAAGGTAATCACTTTGAAAGTTTACAAGCGAGGAACAGTGATTAGTGATAAGATGGTAGGACATAATTTTTTAATCCACAACGGCAAAAATTTTAATAGTCTACAACCAACTAGTGAGCATATTGGCTATCGTTTTGGTGAATTTGCTCCGACAAGGCGAGTTGGTAAGCATGGAAAGGCAGGTACTCATTAAAAATAAACTATGAATAAGAATCATCTTTCTCCTGCTAATTTAATTATTCGTAGCCATTCTTTAGCAATTTCTCCCCAAAAATTACGTCCCGTGGCTAATTTAGTCCGAAGAAAAGAAATTGATTACTCTTTGAATACTTTACATTTTTTACCCCACAAAGGAGCAAGAATTCTACATAAAATTCTCCAAGGAGCAATTAAACAAATAAAGAAGCGGGACAAAAAAGAAAAGGCAGTTTTTTACATTAGCCAAATCCGAGTTGACCAAGGAAGTATTCGCAAAAAAATGATCTTCCGTGCCAAAGGGAGTGCTAATACTCTTCGCCAAACCACTTCTCATTTATTCTTGTGTTTAAGCCCAAAGGAGGCAAGTAAATAGTGGGTCAAAAAATTAGTTCTTATGCTTTGCGCTTAGGACATAACCAGACTTGACAAAGTAATTATTTCCCAACTAAAAAAGAACAAGTCCTTTGATTAAAACAAGATAAGTTAATTAGGGATTATCTTTTTTCCCGTTTTCCTGTAATTACCCAAATCAAAATTGAACGAACCAAAGCTGAATTATTTGTCTTTGTCTATTCTCCTAACATTAGTTTAATTACTGGCGAAGATAATGACAATTTAGACCAAATTTTAACTAAAATTACTAATATTGTTAATGAAAAAAAAATCATTACTAAATTATACTTAAATGAGGAAAGAAAAATTTATTCTTCAGCACAAGCTATTGCTAACGATTTGGCTCGTAAATTAGAAAGCCGAATTGCTTGACAATCGCTTCGTCAAGATTTTCTCAAAAAAGTAGCCGGAGAAAAAGATATTCGAGGAATAAAAGTCCGAGTTGGTGGTTGTTTGGAAAAGGGAGGAATTGCCCAGCATAAGACAATCAGTCAAGGAAGAATGCCATCTAATACCTTAGATAGTCTAATTAAAGAAGCAAAAACTGAGGCTAATACTATTTATGGACAAATTGGAATCGTTGTGCAAATTTATAAAGGAAAGAAGAAAAAATTAAAATATGTTAATACCTAAAAAAACTAAGTATCGTTTTCCACATCGTACTTCTTACGAGGGGAAAGCTAAAGGAAATAAAGAACTTACTTGAGGAGAATACGGTCTCCAAGCTCAAGAAGGTGCTTGAATTAAAAATAATCAAATTGAGGCAGTACGAAAAGTAATTGTTCGTTTTACTCGCAAAGGTGGCAAAATGCGAATTAATATTTTTCCTCACCTCTCGCGTACAAAAAAACCTTTAGAAGTCAGAATGGGTTCCGGAAAAGGTTCAATTGATAACTGAGTGGCTGTGGTAAAGACCGGAACTATCATGTTTGAACTAAGTGGAATAAACAGAGAAGCTGCCTATCAAGCTCTTCATGCTGCTAGTTACAAACTGCCCATCAAATGTAAAGTTATTGAAAAGAATTTAGTATCAACCTAAGCTAATCTAGTTTTTTTTCTTTGTCAGTTTCATTTTCATCTATAATTAAAAAAAGATGAACAAATAGACAAAGGCTAAAATCAGGGCAAAAGCTGTTAGCACCTCGCCGAATAGCCCTTGGGTTATAAGTCCGACAGCAAAGCTGGTGAGTTCCCGACAAAATAAAGTCAAATTAAAAAGACTAAAAAAAGAATGCATTGGCTGTGGTGATTATTTTCACTTGCTTTAAACAAAACAATTATGATTATTGTCGCAACTGTGCCATCAATGGCAACCGTTATGCCAAAAATCAATTGTTTTTATGGCTGTGATTTTATGGCTTCGGTAGAAAGGATTATGGAGAAGCATTATCGACAAAAACATCTGTTCAAGCTCAAGCCCGAACTGGAGCCATCAACAAAACCGAACATAATAAATACCAAAACTATAAATATTTTACTAATGGTGGAGATGAGGGGATTGAACCCCTGTCCTTAAGGAGCAAATAATTAGGACTACAGCTTATTCAGTTAAGGATTTATTGACTTAATGCTAACTGACAAATATTATAGCCAAAGAGTTTATTTTGAATAATTAACTAAGGAGCAAATAAACAAACTTTCTTTGTTAATTCCTTACCATTACGAATTACTTGAAAGGAAGCAAGCAATAAGAACTAATTGAGAACTAAATTCTCGCGTAGTTAAAACTGTAATTGTTATTTAACAAACTTACAGGAATATCTTGACTTTCGTCAATTTCGTTAGTGTCTTGATGTTTTCAAGTTTTTGCTGCCCTAATTACCAACTTAGTTAAGTCAAAACTAACATCCCCAATTTTACGAAGTTATTGTCTATCCCACTAACTGGAGGAATATTATCAATACTTCATAGTATTATTTTTAGTTTGCATTTAGTTTAAAATTTAACATTTGTCTTGATTAGCCATAATAATTATCCAATTTAATTAAAAATTCTTCTTTAAAAAGGCGGTTAGTAATTCTGTAAAAGTATTAAACTGTGATTTTTGGTGTTTGTCTCCAATTCATCGTAATCTTCCAACTAAAGCATCACCAATAAAAGGAACTTCACCGTGGTCGGCTTCGATAAAAAAGTAACAATTAATATATTTTCAGTTAGCCGGATCTTTTTGAAAATGTTTCCAAATATTATAAGAGGCTTCTCAAGGAATAGTAATATCAGTAGTGCCATGAAGTAAAAGCAGTTTCACAGACAATTTATCTGGCACAACCGCCAGCGGGTCCACTTCCTCTAAATTTTGTGAGGAAGGCAAAGCATATTTCAAAAATCGATTAGCAATTAAATAACGCCAAGTATTGGCATTTTTTGTTCCTGTTAAGCGTTTCATTTGGGAAGAAAAACTATCAAAAGGGGCTTCGCAAATGAGAAATTTAACTTTGGGATGGTAAGTTTGAAATGAGCCTAACCAAAAAAGCAAAGTTGCTGCTCCCATGGAAAAGCCATAAAGACCAATTTGTTGTGGTTGACAATATTTTTGGGTTCAGTTAACAACGTCTTCTAAATCCTGGGACTCAATTTTGCCTAAAGTTGTGTAAGATTTTCCAGAAATACCATGATTTCGGGCATCATAAATTACTACTTGATAGCCTAATTGCAAAAATAAATGAGTGCAATAAAATGAGCCTCAACGATTGCTGGTTACTCCATGACAAAAAATAATTAATTTATCATTGTTTTCATTAATAACTAAGGGGCGAATACTGCTGCCACGAATAATTATTGAGTCCTTGCTAGATAAGATTTGAAAACTTCTTCATAAGCCTAAATCTTGTAAGAAAGAAAAATAAGTCTCGTAGCGAGAAAGAACAATAAAATTTCTTCTGGTTCCTAGTTTATCCCTAATTTTAGCATTAATTTGGTTCACTGACAATTCGTTGTCCTCAATTTTTCCCTGCGAATAAGGAGAAATTCTTTTTTTTCACAAAAATTGAAGCAGTTTTTTAACTTTGTCAAACATAAAGAGATTTTATCAATTGCTAATTTTTTACGATAATTTGTTAGAAGCCAAAAAAACTGCCAAAGAATTAATTACTAAACTCATCCGAAAAGAGCAAATTAAAATTGAAGATTTAAAAATCTCTAGTCTCACTGTTGAAAGTGATTTAGAAAATTATTTGCTAAACTAGAATCTTCTCAGCAAATAGCACAATTTACTAAGCAAGTCCAACAACAAATTATTACAATATGCAAACTAAATGCCCGCTTTTAATCTTAAATAATTATTCTTAGAATAATTATTATTCCAGCCGATAAACTTGTTCATAAGGTTCAGTTAATTGGTTTTCGCTAGAATTAACTACTACAATTATAGCAAAAAATACATTATACAAATGAATACAAATCGAAAAAACAAAGAACTCCAAGAAAAATTCAACAGTGCTTTAAAAATCTTTGCCGGAAAAATCGAAGAAAATAAACAAAATCAACATGAAATTTTAGAAAGTTTTGAAAAGTCCCAAGGCAAAGAAAACCATGAATTGGCCAAAATTTCCCAACAAATCAAACCTAAAGAAGAAACCATGGCAATTATCCAAAATGCTGTTGATTTAGTAGACCAGCAAATCCAATCCAGAGACGAAACCATTATTATCCAAAAAGAAGAAATCAAGACCGGTGAAGAAACTATTAAATCGCTCATTGGAACCCACAAAAAATATATCGACAAAATCCATAGGGAAATTGATGGTTGGCACGAACAATTAAAAGAATGGCAAGCATCCCAACAACAACACCAAGCCGAAGAAGCCCAAGAAGAAGAGAAGCGAAAGAAAAAATTTTGAATTATTAGTGCTATTGTTTGAGTTTTGTCAATGGTATTAACAGCCGTGGTCTGCTATTTAATGTGAGGTAAAAAATAAGGCAATAACATAAACTTTGCATAAAAATGTTACTATTAAATAAAAACCCCAAACTATTAAGTTTGCCTCTGACCTCTCTGCTACTTTATATTTTTTGCTACTATTTCTTTTTTTTAGTAAGTAATTAGTTTTGCTAGCAAATCATTAAAATTAGAATTAGATAGATTTTTATTTTACTTAACTTTTTGCTTTCTTTGGTTTTGAAGTGTTTTTTTTTGGCAATTTTTTTTCTTCTCAAGCCATCACGTTAGAAATATGGAGAGGAACCAAAGTGTCTTTTAATTGACTTTTCTTTTTGACATCAGGAGACTTATTGTAGGTTTTTTTGGTGGCTTTGGTTAAAAAAACTCTTTCTTTTTTTGGTTCTAAATGATGAATATTATCCACCAAACCACGAAATTCACCAGTAATTACTTTTACTAAATTATTTTTTTTTATTTTTGACTTTTCCATAATTAATTATCTTTTTTACACCACCTACATAAATTTTTTTCAGTTTCATGTTGCTGAGGATATTTTTTGTGGCATTTTTTACAAGTAAAATTGCCAGTTCGCAAAATAAATTGTTTCACTATTCAAATTCAACCAATAAAAACGGCAATTGCCACTACTGCCCAAAGGATAGTTTTAACTATATCAGTTGTTTCCATTTAAATTACCTCCTTAGTTAAAGAAAGAAGTTTTTTATAACCTCATTCTTCAAATTCACGTAAAACTGGCACTAAAATTCTCGTACCAATCAATTGTTGGTCTTCTTTTTTTACTAAGACAGCATAATTTTTACTAAAACTGACAAAATTACCATTAGCTCGGTGAAATCCTTTTTTACTGGTGATAATTAAAGCCATAACTATTTGCCCTTTTTTGATATTAGTAGCATGAGGATCAGCCTTTTTTACAACGGCAACTACTCGGTTTCCTATTTTTTTAGATTCATTTTTAAAGCCCCCTATAATTAGTAATTCCTTGGCTCCGGAATTGTCAGCCACCAACAAACGAGATTCATTCTGAAACATATTATAATTTTTAGTGGGCGGTCTTTTTCTTGGTTGGTTTTTTTAATTAGTTCGTAGAAGGAATTTGCTGACATGTTAGTAAAAATATAAAACTTAACAATTATATTAATTTTTTTAAAACTCACCAACTTTCAGGCAAAATCTGCTAAAGAAATTAGAAAAATTATTCGGATCAGTAACTACTTAAAAATATTATATATTCGCATAGCAAAAGAACCGAAAAATACGATAATTATTTTTTTTGCGGGATTGGCGGAATGGTAGACGCGCCAGACTTAGGATCTGGTGCCTTAAAGCGTGAGGGTTCAAGTCCCTTGTCCCGTACCAGTGTTTATTAATGCTGAATCAATAACAATTATGAAAATTATCACCCAACGAAAAAATTCCTACAAATTCAAAATCATTGGTCGAGAAAAAGTTGCTGGTCTCCAATTAACTGGTAATGAAATAAAAGCAATTAGAAATTATCAAATTTCTATTAGCGATGCTTATATTTTACCTTATAAAAATGAGTTATTCCTTCACAAAACTTCTATTTCTCCTTATCGTTATGCTAGTCCATTTTCTAAAAATGCCATTAGCGGTCAAAAGCCTCGTAAACTGTTAATGAAAAAGTGAGAAATTAAACAATTAATCACCCAAATAAAAACCAAGCATTATAATTTAATTCCTCTGCAAATATTTATTAATGAAAGAGGCTGAGCCAAAGCCGAAATTGCCCTAGCACAAAATTTAAAAAAATACCAAATAAAAAAAAATGTTAAAGAAAAAGAAATCAAAAAAAAATTACAAAGACGAGAATATGATTAAAAAATAAACATATCGTTAAAAAGTGAAAGGCAACTGTGACCAGATTGCGTGAAAAGTAAACTTCTAGAGAATAAGAAAAGTTAAAAAATTATAATAAACCTTGTTATGGATGAAGATAACATTATCAATTCTTTACTTTCTCAATGAAAACTCTACGCCTCACAAAATGGCATAAAATGAAATCACTCTTTTTTACAATGAAATCTGCCTGCCGCAATTAAAGCCGACTTTGCTCTAAATTTGGCTTTGCCTCTGGCTCACAAAACTAACCAGCCAGTGAAAGATATTGCTGAAAAAATATTTTCTTTAACTAAAGATAATCAATATTTACAAGGTGAAATTACTCCATCAGGATATATTAATTTTCGTTTGACCGATGAATATTATTATAGAATTCTCCATTATATCGTAACTAAAAACTCATTTTTTTCTAGAGAAAAATCTAAACTTTCTATTCAGCCTAAAAAAACTGTCCTATTAGAATATGTTTCGACCAACCCTACTGGCTATCTTCATTTAGCACATTTTCGCCATGCCATTATTGGCAATACTTTGGCTAATGTTTACCAATTTTTGGGATATCAAGTAATTAGAGAATATTACATTAATGACCGCGGAGGACAAATTTCTTCCTTAGTTAATTCTATTTACTACTTTTATCACCAATTACAAGGTGTTTCTATCCCTGCTGAATTAGAGAAAATAGAATATTCAGGCAAAGCCAGCCAAGAAATCGCCCAAGAATTAATAAAAAAATGAGGCAGTAAGTATATTAAAAAGCAGTTAAATAATGAAGAATTTGCCATTTGAAAAAAAGAAATTTTAGAATTAATATTAACCAAAATCCGGCAAGATTTAGAAAAATGTGGAATTAAATTTGATGTTTGGTTTCCAGAAAACAGTTTATATGAAAAAAATAAGCACCAGGAACTACTGACTGAATTGAAAAAAAGAAATTTAATTTACACCCAAGAGGGAGCAATATTCTTCCGCAGCAGTTTAGGCAATGACGAAAAAGACCGTGTAATTATTAAGCAAGATGGTGATTATACCTATTTTTTTTCGGACATCCTCTATCACCAAGACAAGGCCAAAAGAGCTAATAAATTAATTAATATTTGAGGAGCCGACCATCATGGAACCATTGCGAGACTGAAAAGTGCTTGGCAACTGCTAGGATACGAGCCAGAAAGAATGCAAATAATTTTGGTGCAAATAGTTAATTTACTTACTAAAGAGGGTCAAACCGCAAAATTTTCCAAAAGAGCTGGTAATACCATTGAATTAACCGAAACTTTAGAATATATGGAAATGGATCAATTACAATTTTTCCTTCTTGAAAAAGAAACTAGCCAACCGCTTGCTATCAATGTTGAATTGCTAAAAGAAAATAAAGAAAAAACTCGTCTTTATTATATTCAATACGCTCATGCTCGTTGTCATCAATTATTAGCCAAAGCCAAAGAGAAAAAAATAAGTCTAAATTACGAAAACCTTAACTTGCCTTGAAATCAAGAAGAAAGAAACATTCTAAAAACTTTGCTGCGATTTCCTTTCACCCTTCAATTAATTGTTGAAGAAAACAAACCTCATCATTTAATTTATTACCTCGCTGATTTAGCTCAAGCATTCCAAACTTATTACCAAAAAGAAGTAATCATTGAAGAAAAAAAATTATTAAGCACACAACAAAGGCTTTTTCTTACTCGAGGAGTAAAAGATACCTTAAAAATTGGTTTGAATTTAGCTGGAATTGCTGCTCCGGAAAAAATGTAATACCAGATAACCATCTATTTAGAGAGTCAATCGTAGGAGAAACTGATTTAGAAAAAGATTTATCAGCAATTATTAGTGTAAAGGAAGCAAAAAGATTTAAAGAAAAATCCCTAATTACTTAACAAATAACTAAAAACATTTAGCATCAATATATACACCTTCCTCTATAAAAATTCACTATGGAAAACCCTCAACTAATTATTATCAGGTCAGTCATGAAACCTCGTAATTACAGCACCCTGCGGGCGATTTTGAAAATTTAAACTAGCCAACCCTCAGTACGTTTGCCAATACTTAGAAAAAGAACGAATTAACTTTGAAATTTATGAGAAAAAGCCAGCCACAGGGAGCGAAGAATTAAAGAGAAAAGTCCAATTTTCACCCAAAAAATACTAACTAAATTAGTTACTCATTGTTTGTCAAAATTAAAAATATGTTTGACATTATTTACCAAGACCAAAATTTATTAGTAATTAATAAGCCCAATAATTTAGCCGTACAGAAAACTAATAAGTATGCGGAAAGTTTAGAAAGAATTTTATGCCAATCTGAGCTTCCGCTTGCTTCTGTCCCCCGTCAGGGAATAGTCCACCGCCTGGATCGACAAACAACAGGTTTACTTTTGATAGCCAAAAATTAATTGAAGTCAATGGTTCATTCTACACCCACTTGAAAGATAAAAAAGATTTAATAATC